GGTGTCAATGGACCCTATGGGCAGGGAGTTGAACCAATTCATTGCCCTCTTGGAGAGAGTGGTGCGGAACATCTTGCACATCGCCGCATCCGTCGGGCCGTATAAATCCGCCATGGCACTGAATTTCTCAATATGTTCCTGTGGGTCGGTGGTCCCTTCAAATTGAGGTAACCCCGAGATCTTTACCCCTTGAGGTAATACCTCGTTGAGGATCTCTATGGTGAAGGGACTGCGTCTTGCTGGGAGAGGCATCCTCTCACCCATTTGATTATTTGGTTGGGAGAAAAGGTTTTGGCGAGACACTCGGCTGTTTACCTCGCCTTCTCCCTCATTAAAGAGAGGGATTCTTGGTGGCGATGCATTCCCCCGTAGGGGTGAGCGCCGACGTTGTTGTCTAGGTTGTGCTCCTCTGTGATTAGTAGATAGCTGCACTCGGGACCGTGGGTCCGACGTAGAGGAAGAGACGCTTATTTGATTCTGGATCGGCGGTGGGACCACTGGTGGTGCTATAGGTGGAGCTTGTGCTGGTATCGCATTGGGAGCGTTTGCTCCCATCGTGGCGATATATTGAGTTACGGCCTCCGTGGCGGCGCGAGTAGAAGCTTCCGCTATCATACGTTGGAGTGCGTCCTCGGTTATCTGAACCGTTCGAGGAGCAGGGAGTGGTGGATCGGCGAGTGGTGGGTCCCGAGGGGGGATCACCTGAACCTCGCGAGGTGGATCTGCAGTACGTGGGGGAGCTGGCTCCGCGGCACGTGGAGGAAGTTGCTCCGCGGCGCGTGGAGGAGGTGGGATGCCAGATCCTCCACGGGCGGGGAGGTTATTAGCTGTGTCGTTTTCTCTCCGAGCTGATGCCTCAGGAGGATCTTGTTGGCTACGTGATCTGGTTTGCATCGTTCCCACAGACGGCGCCAAAATGATGATGCTAGAGTATAGCTCACCTAGGATAGTATATAAAACGAGCTGGGAGAGCAAAGCTGATCTGTAGCTAGTCAACTCGATGTTCCTGAGGTCCCTACAAAATGAGCGCACGTGAACTAAGCCGGGGGTTGATCCGGCGGAAACCCCTCCGCCGAGCGGCCCCCCTGTACGGATCGTAGAGAAAAGTGGAGAGAATAAACTTGTGGTTGATTATTAATAAAATGAGCACGTACCTTTTCAAATGAATAAAACTTCTATTTATATGTCGTTGATTAAGTTGGGCTTATTTTGTTGGGCCCAAGCCTTACTTTGAAGGTGCTTGGGCTTTCGTGTAATGGGCCCGAATATTCTCGTGTATTGGGCCTAATTATTAAATAAATTGGGGTCCATTGGGTCGGCCCAATTAGGTATATCAATATATATATATATATATAATGAGCGCAATGGTCAAAGACATTGAAAGATCAAAGGTAGCGGCACCCAAAACAAATGATGTTTTATACTAATGCACATATGTCGACTGCGAAAAGCTCTTACCTTGTGAGCCGTTGAGAAAGACGACGATGAAGTTACAATTAAATTGATCAGTGTAGGTTTAAGTTTAAGATTGATAGAATCATTAATTTTGTACAAAATATATATAAACAGGGACAATTTTGTCAAACATAAAACTAAATTCATTCATGTGAGATTGATAATAAGTAGAAGGGGCGATATATTATCTTTAGGCTCATAAAAAATGAGCCTAAAAATGACTTTACCTGAAAGAATAGAGAAGAAGTTATCATCTATTTCACTAATTAGTCAATTTTGCACATTAATCTCGATTTTGACTGCTGTCAATCGCCACCACTAAAGAAAACTAGGGTTGTAAAATAGATCATTTAGATATACAAAGTGTTATGCTATCACTATAACAATTATACTTTCGTGTTGTAAATCAACTAATACTTTATTTATTATATAGTATAATAGTGGTCAACAATATCGTTAAGTATCACAATAATGTTAATTTATTTTTATAGTTTTTGTTTCAGAGTAACATTAATTTTCACATTTAAAAAAAAAAAAAAAGTTTTTTGTTATGCTGCAAATAACATTAATCTTTATGTAACAATAGTTTTATTTCAGTTTTATTTTTCAACGGTACATTAATTTTCATAGTAACACTATTTTTTTACATTTTTATTTTTATTTTTCACAACAACAATAATTTCACACTAATACTAAAAAAATGTATTTACTCTTTTTCCATCCAATAATGTTTTTATACTTTTTTTTTTGTCTCTAGTTTCACTAATGTTACCGTGTTGATCCGGTATTTTACATTAATATTACCGGTCATCAAATCAAAGAAAACTATAAACACAACAACATTGAGGGGGGAACCTTTAAAAAAAAAAAAAAAGGGATAGTTGTTGCAAATATATTTTTTTTTTGAAAATAAATAGCCTTTTTAGCGGCGGCGGCTAGAAGGAAAAAAAAAAGTCAACGGCGGCTGTCAAAATTGGTGAATTTGTTAAATTTTTGATGTGTTTAAAGGGCTAACGGTAATTTTTGTAATAAAAATTAGGGTTACCTTTGTTAGTAATAAATGTTGAAGGAATAAGTTTCTTTGCAAATTGAGAAAAAATGGATGTTCTTTTAGTAGAAGTAGAAGTTATGTCATTGTGTTAGGTACCTCCATACCATTACCCCTAAGTAAAACCATGGGAACAAGAAAGAATAGATAATTCCATAATTTTAGAAATAAGCAGGAATGAACATGCTCATCTAGTTTGACCTACAACAATATTAATTCTAATATCTTGCAAACCATCCAGATTTCCTTAAAGACAATACACAAAAATAATAGGAAAGAAATATGTAGATGCCTTTCCTGTTCAATAACCAACAAAAAAAAAAAAAGTGGAGACCGAATCATATGTTTCGAAAAAAATCACTAACGGGATTTTCCTAGCGACGAACACTCGGTTTTATTTTCACAGTTTGAATTGTGAAGCTCCATTTATACCAAATTGGGAAGCTATTAATCATCATGTGTACGAATCATTCTGCACCTGTTTTCACCGAAGCCGTTTTGTCAAGTTCATCCAAAACAGTCCATAGTTTAGCATCTTCGTAATCTTTGATGAGTAGAGCAGGCTTTGCTTCCATAAGTAGCTCTGCTGGATTCCTAGTCGTCAATCCCACTGTAGGCAATCCCGCTGCAACCCCAGCTTTTATCCCTGAAACTGAATCCTGAACAAACCAAAACCACAATGTATAAAATAAACCATGTGTACGATAAGTCCACTAGCGGAGCCAGGATTTTACGTCTGCGGGGGCTGAATGCATTAAAAAACTTTCTAGGGGGGGTCGTTACTACTATTGTACACAAAAAAGTTCATAGTTCTACAGTAGAACATCAATTAATTAGTACTCGATGAAATACTAACCTCGCACTTTATTAATAATATCTCCTTGTCCCCGACTCGGTGACATCATGTTAAATCATTAACTCGATAATAAAATATTCCGCTAAATTAATCTTATTTTGCTAGTCCCAGCTGTATTAATATATAGAGATTTAACTGTATATGAAATAATATATATTTGAGAAATGTTGGTGGGGCCATGCCCCCCTAGCCCTATGGTGGCTCCACGACTCATACCAACCAAGATTATAATTCCATTTCGATTTTAGGAATGTAACGAATTCTGTGAATGGAAGTAATTTTTTTTTGTGTTTTCGGCGAACAATTGTTACTATTTTGAGAGAAGAATTTGAAAAAAAATATATATATATATATATATTTATCTAGTGGGAACCAAACCTCGAATACACATGTGTGCTCCTTGGACACGTTGAGTATTTCAAGTGCCTTTAAATAGGGATCTGGGAAAGGTTTTGCATGTTCGCAATCACTTCCAAGAATAAGAGCTTGAAAGAAATCCGACAGTCCAAGAAGTGAGATCATCAGCTCGGCATTTTCTCTAGGAGCGTTAGTGACAGCAGCTCGTTTCAACCCACGATCTTCGATCCATTTTGTCAGTTTATGTAAGCCCTTCACCGGTTCGATTTTCTCCTTAACTATTCTGTAATTCCCATTCAAAATTAAAAAAAATGCGCGGTAAGACTAAAAGAATGCCTACATCCGTTCATCTATATTTTAATAGAGGAAACAAACCTTCTGAACATGGCTTCCTTATCATCGAGAAATTTGACGCCTCTCTCGTGATCATCTGGGAAAAGGATGGAAGCGATATCTTCATTGTGTCTCCCAGCAATATTCTTGACGAAAAAGTCCTCGTCGATCGGAACACCGCCGTTGAAGCCAATCTGATGAAAGGAACAGTGTCGTCTATTTTGATCCAAAATCTTACAGGAATTAAATGATTCGAAATAATAAAAGAAAAAAGAATAGATTCCATCACAATCACACCTCTTGGAGCATCTCGCGGAAAGCATCATAATGCAGGGGATCCGTATCGCACAATGTGCCATCAATGTCGAACAGGACTGCTTCGAGCGGAGCAAGTTTCAACAGAGGACAATTTCTGATTTAAGAGACAATAAATAGCAAATTAGCTATAGTTGAAAGTATGGCTTCTCTGTCGTACAAAAATCCCGAAACTTGACGGGATTGATAACAAAATATATTCTGTTTCAGTACTCATCTTCCATAATCTGCTAACTCTATAAAGACAGATAGCCAACAGTACAAGTACTGAAAGGGATTTGAACCCCGACCCAGCGACCAATCCCGATACGGGATAAATAGTTTTTTTTTTTTTTTTCTTTTTTTCAAATCACATTCTTTGACATGTACTTAAATAATAATAATACTTAGCACTTCCAAAATCACATTAAAGTGAGATGAATTTAACCAGTGGCCTGCAAATATCTACTTTTACTATGATTCGATGAAGAAACACGGGAAGGGCCCGAGAAGGGTGCAACAACAAAAGAAGAAAGAGTATTTACTCTCTTTTTGTATTATATTTTATTTTCATTTATTGAACTAAAAAAAAAACTAACATTTCTTCCACAATGAATGAAAGTTTAAAAGTACCCCGAAGCAGCTAATTAAATATATGTTCACGAAATTACCGGGCATAACAGTACATTCAAATCCAACAAAAATAGATCCTTTTTACGGTTATGCCCAAACATATCCTTTAGCCAGGGGTGTAAACGAGTAGAATTGAGCTGAACACATGGTTGTTTAAGCTTGTTTGAATTTTATCGAGCTTTTAATCTTGTGTTTGAGCCAAGCACGAATCCAGCTCGAGTAGCTTGAATTTTTTCTTAAAACACATTTTTATCATTTTTTTTTCTCATTGAGCTCGGCATCAAGCCGAGTTTCATAGCTAATCAAACCAGAATATACGTTCAAGCTCCATTCGTTATGTTAACAAACGGAGCTCAAACGAGCTTTTAACGAACAATCTCGTATCGAATAATTTTGTTTGATTTTTCATCACCGACTTTAGCACAACATATGTAATCAGAAAATATATATATATATATATATATATATATATATATATATATATATATATATATATATATATATATATATATATATATATATATATATATATATATATATAATTTGCATTGGTTTTCCGATCCTGCTAATATGAATAAATAGAGTTCAATAAAAAAAGATGTGAAATATAATAAGTGCAATCAATTAAAATAAGAGAAACAAGTGACTGGCCAGCAGAATGCATAGTGTTGTGGATCGACATATATAATATTTCAGAATGTAATCCAAATGGGGGCGATGGCCGATTAGAGCCTCCATCTCCACATCACACACACACACACACACACACACACACAAACAGAGATGGCATCGAAAAAGTGAAGAAATCGAAAAGGAAGGGGGTGGCGCGTGTGGGAATTACCTGTCAGATGAAGAAACAGTCATATTGTAATGGTGGTTTACTGGTCAGAGTTTTCTGTAATCCTCCTCCTCCGCCTACTCTCTGATCTGATGATTATAATTTAGAATCGTTTCTTTGTCAGGGTTATTATTATTATTATTATTATTATTATTATTAGGAAAACAAAAAAAAGAAAAAAAAATGAGGTAGGGAATATGCCAATGGTTATGCAGGAGGGAATACTTCACGTGTTTAAGTAAACACGTGTTCCACCCAATTTTTGCAACAAGAATCCCATAAAATATTCCAACTTGCAAATGTTTCACTTTTTTGGAGAAGCGAAATTGTTAAGAGTATACATATAAGTTGTTATTATTAAAAGTTAAAAGCGTGTAGAGTTTATATATGGTTTTTTTTTTGCAAGAACCCACCTCTGTATAATCTCTAATCACTTAAAAAGCTTTCATTTAAAAATATAGTAAGAACACTCCTATGAGAATTGGTCAAAGCTAATAAAGTTCCTACCATGTGCGCCGCACGCGCGGGTTGAGAGACTGGGTTGTATGTTTTGACTGGATAAGACTTAAATACCCTTTTAGAAATTTGAAAAGCTACAGCTCTACCCCCAAAATTTCTATAAGCTCAAAATAAAGTTTTTCAAATTATCACTTCAGTCCCTCATATTATATGAAAAGCTATCATCTTCACTATACCTAAAATCACCACTGTAATGCCAAACCCCAGCTCCCCCATAACCCATCACTTCCGCTACGCCGCCCTCTTCCACCGTATCTCCATCCACCTCACCATAACTGTAGACAACACCCTATCCATCGCCCGCAAATGCCTCACAAGAAAACCAACATCTCTCTAGTGCTTCTTTCACAGAACCTGAGGATCCAAATTCCCAATAGATGGACACTGTTAGTTTGTGAGAGGTGGTGGATACTAATTTGGAAATAGTTTGATTTATTTGGAGAGAATGGACAATAGGACTTAAGTTGAAAGAGAAGGCTTTATTAGTTTTTTTGTTTTAGTTGATGCTTGTTTACAATGCATCATAGCCTATTTATAGCCTTCATGGATAAATCTAGAGAATTGCTATAGTAGTCCTTCTCTAGAATTATATTTACAATCCTAGCTATTCATGAATATTCTTATATGGCTAGAAGTATCTAGCTAGCCTTGAGTCTTATAGATTATTCTAGATACTATTTTACAAGACTAATATTTCTTGAATATTCCAAAATTGAGCATTAATTTCAACACTCCTCCTTAATGCTCATTTTGGAGATACCGAGCATCGGATGTAGTTCTTCAAACTTCGGGCGCGGATGTGCTTTCATGAAAATATCTGCATGTTGTTCGTCTATCGGGCAGTAGTTCACTTAAATTTCTTTGTTCGCTTTTGCTTCTCTTAAGAAATGATACTTGATGGCTATGTGCTTAGTTTGGCTGTGTTGAACCAGATTCTTCGCCATTGCTATTGCAGACTTGTTATCGCAATAGATTATCGTCGGCTTAGTTTGTTCATCGCCCATATCTGCTAATATTCGTCGTAACCATATAGCTTGGCTTGCAGTTGTTGCAGCTGCCATATACTCTTCTTCTGCTGCTAATTGCGCCACACTTTCTTGTTTTTTGATGCACATGAGAATATTCTGGAACCAAGAGAGAATGTGTAACCTGAGGTACTTTTCATGTCATCCAATGATCCGGCCCAATCACTATCGGTGTAGTCAAATAAACTCGAGCATGTTATGGGCTTGTGCCAAATTCCATAGTCCTCCGTTTCTTGCAAGTACCTAAGGATCCTCTTAGCTACTCCATAATGTACTTGACACTTTTTATGAATCTGGATAGTAAACTTGTGGCGTGCATAATGTCTGGTCTTGTAGCTGTTAGAGATAGCAAGCTTCCTATTATACTCCCGCAGAGTGAATCGTCCACCTTTGGTGATCCATCTTCCTTTCTTAGTTTTTCATTAGTTACTACAGGTGTAGCAACCGGATTGCAATCGTTGTGTCTTGATGTACAGATTAAGCTCACTTTGACTCCTCCTAAATTATCGACTCGTGAAATAAGTATGGATCTGACTCTACCAAGCTCGTGGGGCTGCTTTAAGCCGTATAAGGCTTTCATGAGAATTAAAACTTTGTCTTTTTTCCTTTCTCCACGAATCCTTGTGGGTGTTCCATGGATATTTCTTCTTCAAGATAGCCGTTGAGAAAGGCTAACTTGACGTCCAGTTGATAGATTTTCCATCTCTTTTGTGCAGCTAGTGCAATAAGTGCTCTTATTGTGTCTAAGCGTGCAACGGGAGCAAAGGTTTCAGTGTAGTAATATCTTCTCCATTAGCTCTTAACTGATTAACTAATTCCCTTAGTCGAGAATGATTCATTTACGGTCTCGGAATCCTTCATTTTCATATTCTCCAAATCTCTTCGTAGAGTTTGAAGTTTAGTATTTCTTACATTTGCATTGCCTTGGAACTCCTCCTTCAGGGTATCTCACGCTTCCTTTGCACTTGTAGCACCGCTAATTCTTGGAAAAATTGGATCCGCCATAGCCATTTGAATGTTGTAAAGTGCCAAGTTGTCTTTCTCCATATCCTTGCCTAACTTATCTTTCTCCACTTGAGAGAGTTTAGAAGTGTCGCTAGGAGTAGTGAACCATTCGTCGACAATCACCCATAAGCCTTGAGATTTAAAGAAGGTCTTCATTTTGATATACCAATAGTCATATTTTTCTCCAAAGAACATAGGAAGAGCAATTTGGTTGTTAGATAGTGTATTGGCCATGGTGTAAGTTAATGGAATAATATATGGTGGTTTTAAGAATAGTATGTAGTGAGGGGAACGCCCAAGTTTTTGATTGAACGGGGCTCTGGTACCACAGTTAGCTTGTGAGAGATGGTGGATAGTAATATGGAAATAATTTGATTTATTTGGAGATAATGGACAATAGGACTTAGTTGAAGGAGAAGGCTTTATTAGTTTTTTGTTTTAGTTGATGCTTGTTTACAATGCCTCATAGCCTATTTATAGGCTTCATGGAAAAATTTAGAGAATTGCTAAAGTAACCCTTCTTTAGAATTCTCTTTACAATCCTAGCTATTCTTGAGTGTTCTTCTATGGCTGCACCTATTTGCAATCTCAAAATTTCTAAGGGTAAGACATTACTTCATGTAAGACCAAAATATAGATAAATTTACTAAGAGCAAGATTGAAAATTACAAATATAACTCCAATATTAATTTTGATATTATTAATTCAAAAAAGGCCTAATTGCTATTGCAAGACCAAATTTTTTTTTTTTAAATATGAAAAATTATCATTCTTCTTCACCAACAAAATCTAACATCTTCTTATTCACACTCATTCTACACATTTTCTCCAAAAAAATTCTTTCATATTCTCCAAAAAAACCCTCATCAAACAAAACCCTCAAATCTTACTAAAGCTTGCAAATGAGGACATTATGGACACACAAGACATCAATATAGATGATTCTAAGGTCGACGAATACAATGGAATAAGAAATATTGTATTTTTTTTAAGCTTCGTGATCGTTTTTCTCATTTTTCGAAAATATTTTCCCCTACACAATTATTCGACGTTTACTGGCCGGTTTTTAGCAATTAAAACGACATGCTGGCGTTGATTTTTTCAGTTTACCTGTAAACGTCGAATTTTGAACAAAATATTGACACACAAATGTCGAAAAAAGTGCAAATAATCGACAACAACTTATTGTCGAAATTTAGTGAAAAATTCTACAAGAAAATGTCAAATACGCAACGATTTCTTTATGGACGAAATTAATTTCGTTGCCAATAATTATATTTTAGCAACGAAATATAGTATTTGTGCCTAAAGAATAACCTTTTTGTAACAAGAAATTTTTGTTGCCTTTGAATCTCATAGGCAACGAAAACTATTGTTACGAATAGTATCATATATATTTCGCAACGAATTTAATGTAAGACAACAACTTCATTTGTTGCAAAAGAGTGTTTCTTTTTGCTACGATATAAAATTGTAGTAAATACATATACAACGACAACAAATTTATTTTGTTGCCAGGAAGGGACGAAAGACACGAAATATTTTGTAGTAAATGCTCCAAGTGATTTGGCAACAAAATATAATCGTTGCAAATTTACAAACCAACTATTTTTTGATTTTAATTTATTATTATTATTATTATTATTATTATTATTATTATTATTATTATTATTATTATTATTATTATTATTATTATTATTATTATTATTATTATTATTATTATTATTATTATTATTATTATTATTATTATTATTATTATTATTATTATTATCATTATTATTATTATATATAATAAAATATGATAAGAAAAATCTTATTTATTTATATTATCTAACAGTAAATCATGCATTTTTTGTTAAGTCAACTGTTTATATGGTTTTAAAAATTAAGTATATATACTTTATTAATATTAGAGAATTTATGACAAGATGTTATATTTATAATTTAATTTTATTTTATTGTAAATTATTTTTTTGACATATTATTTATTTATATAACTATATTAAACATTTTACCTTGTCTATTTAGTTTTTATAAATTTATTTTCAGCCAATTTGCAGAAATATAGTATTGCCCCAGTGGTTTGAAGGGATTTAACTTCAAATCAACCAGGTTCAATTACTACCATTGTCATATTTCCATATATTTAACATTTATCAGCCCGTTGGGTCGGTAGTGAGTTCGGCCCAACTATTCCTATTCCGAAGTGGCTCGGTGTTCGAATGGATGTGGGTTGGGTTGGCGGACGTGGGCCGGGCTTCGATAAAAATCCGGACCATATGTTTTGCATTGAAATAAATTCGTTGGCAACGAAAATAAATTCGTTGTGTATACTATTGGCGACGAAAATAAATTCGTTGTGTATACAAAATACATTGGCAACGATATATAATTGCCAACAAAATATATTCATTGTGCATTCTAAATGTATAGGCAACGAAACATATTTGCCAACGACATGAATTTGTTGCGCAAACTAAATGTATTGGCAACAACTTTTAATTCGTTGCCCCGAACTTTCCGTAACAAATAAAAGACAACGAAGCTAGCAACGACTTATTTTCGTTGCGAATGGAATTAGCAACGAAATTATGTACTTTCCACAACGAAATTCGTTGTAGCCAAATGTTAACTTTCTTGTAGGATCAACACCAGTGTGTCGAAATTTTACAAGGCGGTGGTCGACTTCATCGGCGACGGCGACACGGCGAATGTGCAAGTGGTCCTCTTTTTTCTTCCCTCCCATTTTTCAATTGAGTTTTCATTAAAAAAAAAAAAAAAATTGGTCTTGCAAGAGTAATTGATAGAATTAAGTTTTATTTTGTTTATATTTTACTAAGGTCATTATAGTCTTTCTACACTTAATTTGGTACAAATTTAATTTGGTCTTGCTCTAAGTAAATTTTGCGATTGCATGCCACCTTCTTTTGTGGCTAGAAGTATCTAGCTAGCCTTGAGTCCTATAGATTAATTTAGATACTATTTTATAAGACTAATATTTCTTGAATATTCTAAAATTGAGCATTAGTTTCAACATACACAAATCCGAAAAAGTCGGAGCAAAATTCACCTCAAGAATCATCCAACTAAGGGATTCGAAGATATTTAAATTGAGGTTTTATATTTTTTTTTTTGCCAACTTTTCCGTCAATGAGAAATCAAAATCGACATCGTCACGACGTGGTACCATTGGTGTAGTCGCGCCGGCGCACTGCTGACGGGGAAGAAAAGTTGGGGGATAGATGTAGTGCTGGTGTGAGTGCGACGACGAAATGTTTGGTAAAGAGTTGTAGTTGGGTGCAAGGCTACAGGAAGAAGATGGATGCTGACAATTTTTTTTTTATTTGTATTATTTACATTTTTATGTTAGTTAAAATTGAAATATTATTAAAGAATTAGTAGTGGCAATTTTGTCATTTCACTGAAATCAGCATCCAAATGTGATGAAAGTGGATGTGTGCTATATAAAACTTATTATAAGGGGTATTATGGTAATTCGAAATTAAACAGGGGGGTTTGTGGTATTAACTCGTTCTTATATATACACTAGCCGAAAAATGACTTTTTATTACGACCATTAACCGTAATAAAATGTACAACATTCATAGTAAAAAGGATTTTGTTATGCATTTGCTACGAATTTGCCCCATAGCATATACAGGCGTTACAAAAACTTTGCTCGGTAAATGACCGTAGTAAATATTTTGCTACGACTCCAATATTGTCCCGTAGTAAAAGATATATTTTAGGCTGCGGCTATATGCAATACTCATTCCACTACTGCAAGACCAAATTAAAGAAAGATTCCAAAAGATTCTATTTTATTAAAATGGAATGACAAGTATGCCCATAAATTAAATTGGCTTTTTTTTCTCATGTAAGACCAAATACAAATAATGAGAAAAAACAAAAATCGACACCAAGGTGTCGAAAAACTATGCTACAAATCGACACTCAAGCGTCGAATTTCATAGGTAAAAATCGACATTGACACGTCGAATTTGTAGCACAAATTCAAATGTCGAATTTTA